TGTGTGTGTGTGAGAGTGAGTGTGTGTGTGCTTATTGTACAGAGTTTGTCAGAGCTGTAAACACACATGCGTCATTATGCTTAAATGTCAAGTTATTACGTTGCAGCCAACAAACCACTGTTTGTATGAACTCATTCACTTGTAACGTTTATTAGCTGGAGCAAACAAAGTATTTTGTTTATGTAGTTTTTTTTTACCTGTTTGTTGTAGAGAAAGTATGTTGTAGAAATATATCAATTAGTCAGTCATGAGTAGTCTGCACCCCAGTGACTGTCAGGAGACATGGCACTTTACAGATGAAAAGAATAAAGAGAGAAAGTAAAAACAAATTAAATAATAAGAAACTAAACCAAAACTGTTGCATATAACAGGTCCTGTGTATATAAAACTATATATCATTTTCATCTTTTTTCTGATGTGAGCTCTGTCAAGGGATTAAGATGAACAGAATAGCTTTTCAGATTTAGATGCACACATGCACACAAAATGCATGCACACTTGTAACCACAGGACTCAAAAGCACATCTGGCTCCACAGCTGCACTCAGTTAAGGCCTCTGTCCCCACTCTGCCTGTGTGTGTGTATGTCTGTGTGTCTGTCTGTGTATGTTCATGCATCCCCTACACCCACACCCAGATCATAAATGGATGGAGGGTGAACGGTTTTTGGTTGGTCCAGTTCAGCTCAGGAAAGTGGGTCAGTGCGTGTGTGTGTCACCAGAAAAATGTCTGTTTCAGATCAGCTGAAAGTCAAAACCATCCGTGTTTATAACGTGAAACATATACAGCTCCACATCAGACATGAAGATAATGCCCAAAAAGGACATGTTTTTGAATACATTAATTCCTGAGGACTTTTTGCTGGCAGCTTGAGATTTATTGAGATTGCTTTCATTTGCACTTATTATTTTAACATGTTATTTCAATTACAGAGCGCTAAATGCACTTAAAATGTTTATATAAGCAAACCTATTGATGTGTCTGTCTGGTTGTTGCTGTAAATTAAAACAACTGTCAGCAGCTTCTACAGTAAAAGCATTTTAAATACAAGTCACAGAGGCCGGGATCATTTATAGACAGTGCAGTGACATTAGAGGAGTAAAGCTTTCTGTGGTCCTAACATGCAGGGGTCATTTATTTCTGCATGATACTATAAACACAATCAGTTTTTTTAAATACTGCAGCCAAGGGTTATAACACAGAAATAGCTCTGTCTCTCTCTCTGTCTGCTCACCCTTGCTAAACCAGTTTGCTGTCTGACTCATTTTAGTTAAAGTAAAAGGTTAGCCATCATTAGCATCACAAAATAACAGGGTGATCACAGCCAGAAAATGTAAATAATTACCCTCTAACAGACCTGGACACACATGGATCCTGGACTATGGGTCATGATCGTAGTGGCAGCTGATTGTGGATTACAACTACATTGCTTAGATATACAATATTGTAGACCTCTGCATTCATGTTAAGCGTTGTCTTTTATCATGAATGTTCTACTCGCATCCATTGCACTTCTGTCCGTCCTGCAGGGATCCCTCATGCGCCTCTCTCTTTTTGCTGCAAAGAGGGTTTTCTTGTAGTTATTTCTCTCTCTCGTTGAAGGTAAAGGACATAGAAGTCCTATGAGACCAATTGTGATTTGTGAATATGGGCTATATAAATAAAGTTGAATTGATTACAATACAAACTATCAAAAGCATGGTAAGTGTTTTTGTGAATGGGTTTTCTAGTACTGAAACAAATAGTGGACTAAAGGAAATCACAACTCCAGCTCATTACCTGTTTCAAGAGGCCATATCAACCATATCTTGTTATTGGATTTTGCTCAGTTTTCTCAGTTGTCATGGAGATGGGGTTGTTGCCATGCAAGCTTAGCAACTATTAGAACTGGAAATTTATGTCTGTATCACCTCCATTAAGAACATTAGCAGTATTAGTAATTTAATCCATAGCAATTTTTAATCATTGATCAATTATTCAGGTCATTTATCAATCTTCATCATCATCGTCAAACATAACATTTTCTGATTTCAGCATCTAAAATTTGAGAATTTGCTGCTTTTTATTGTTTACATGATTGTATATTATGAACCTTTAGGATTTTGGACTTGAGTGCAGACAAACCAGTTATTTGAAGATGGAATCTTATGAGCACATTTTTCACTTTTTTAAATTTAAGACTTAATAATTAATTGTTCATTAAAAAAATAATTGACAC